GGGCGCGTCAATGGTGGGCGTGGCCATAGTATGGCGCCACGCCCAGCGCCAACAGACGCCCAACAGACGCCGGTGCACGAGAAACTTTTCTTTTCTGTTAGCGGAGCGGCTGGCGGGTGAGGCGGGGAGGGGGGGGTGGTTTGGCGGGGTGCGAGCGAAAAACTATTTTTGCAAATATTTGCTTAGCTTTTGGTGTTGTTGTTGGGCAACTGCAACGGCTGACAGCGCGAACAGCCGCTACCCAGCACCGCCCACCGCCCACCACCCACCACTAGGGCATTTCAGGAGGGGTGAGGGAGGTGCGACCGAAGGGCAAAGAGCTTAAAGCGCCGTTCGAGGCGTCAAAGAAATTTGTAGTTTGGCAAACAAAAGCGAAAACGCAATGAATCATTGAGTGAATAAGTGAATAAATGCCAAAGCTGTGAAACAGCGGGCATACATAAGCTGAAAATTTAATGAGATATGAACGAACTCAAAACGAATACTCAAATAGTAAAAGTACAAATGAATCATTTAAATCAATAACAATTGAGTGAATATGAAAATGCATTCAAGAGTAAACGAATCATTGGCAGTCATGAATCAAATGAAACAGTTGAGTGAATAAACATTCACTTGCTTAAAATAAGAGCGGCTTCGGAAAATCTCTGAATGTGAAAGGAAATGCAAAGCAAATAATATTCATATGAATCAGATGAATATGAATTCCGAATACAATTGTTTTGCTATAGATTCATATATACTCAATCAGAAATGTGATTTCAGTTGAGCCTAACATGAATACATAAGAAATCAATCTAATCAAACAATGAATAAAAATGAGTACAAAAAGTATTCGAAACCCTAAATGAGTATATGTACAGAATGAATGATTGAATACCAGTGAATATTTTTGATATTACACATACACATATCTGTACTCAAAAAAAAAATGATTAGTTTACTTCATGAGTGTATTCATGAGTGTCAAGTGAATACATGCATATGTGTAGTTGAATTCGGAAAGAAACACTCAAGCAATATTGAACGAATGCAAGTGAATACAACTGTTGTACTTCACATTGCTATGACATGTCCACTCATGAGTGCACATGAATGCACTTGCTGACTATTCGCCGAGTATTATGCTAACACATTCACTTAAATTCACTTGAGTCATTCACCGTGTCGCTGTGGCGCACTTCAATTGGCACTCGGAGAGATTCAGTTGCCATTCACCAGACACTCATATGAATAACGCTCGCTCTCTCAAGTAGGTGTGAATCTTGAAACGCATTTTCACGCGCCAGGCACAGCGTCTAAAGAGGATAACGAAGGCACGCACAGACAGAGGTTTGTGAATATATCCTGGCGAGGATTCTAAAATGCGTTGCTTTTTCACCTACATTCGCCAACAGCAGGACAGAGAGAGAGAGAGAGAGACAGAGAGAGAGAGAGAGAGAGAGAGAGAGAGAGAGAGAGAGAGGGAGAGTGGGAGTGAGAGAGTGTGTGTGGCACATTAGAACGTTAGGATGCTTGAGACGCCACACGTGCTCAAGTAGCTGGCAAGGATAAAGGTTGCCCAGGCATTGGGGTTCGCTCGCTCATCTCGTCCAACTCGTGATGCTCAAGCATTGACCTACGCGAAAACGTTTTGAGCGAACGGTGTCCGTTCGACGGGCCATGGCCAAAAAGATTGAGCGAAAAAGCCAAACAGCATATCTGGCTAAGAGCTATTTGTCCTACAAAATGTCAGGAAGTGCATCATAGAGAAGGTCTACCAAAGGGGATCTATATCAATTGGCAAAGGACGAAAGGAGCGAGGGAAGGACGAACGTACAAACGGAAGGAAGGAAGGCAAGTTCAGCAAGTGAGCACATCTAGAAGCTTTTGAAACATTCAGATGCGATTTACAAGGCAAACATATCGAGTATATAGAGCACTTAGTGGTAATTGGTATAACCATAAAATAAGAAAATATTTTCCTTTGGCTAGACGAAGAGAACTGAGGGCGATTAGATCAAAGAGCATATAAATTCATAGAAAGGAGGCAGAGATATTGGTGAACAAAAAAAGCGATTTCGAATTATAATTGTTGATCTGGCAACGCTGCCATGAACTTAAGAATATTCACATCTATCCCAATAGACTGTCTCAAACTGAAGCAAACAAACTATGCAGCTCTTAATTTGTATTAATGGAAATCTAATGGGTATTACTAGGTAGGTAAAAACCAACTAAGAAAGGCAGCTTAGAATGATAAGTGGCCTAAATAATATTTTCATTATTTTCATATATGTAGATATATATAGATACACATATATATTATAGATATACATGTATATCACAATTTATATAGTTTATGTAGAGAAGAACTCTATAAAAATAGTTAGCTGTACGAATTGGAATTGGGTGGAAATTGATAGAAGAATAAATTATTTTTTTTTTTTTTTTGCAGAATCTTTATATCGATATTTCTCAGTTAAGAGAATTGAAAAATAATCAAAGTAAACATCAGAACTGGAATTGAGCATCTAAATTTTAATTGTATAATTATATTACAAAAATTGAAAGTTTTGATGTAAAGGCAGATCTAGAGACCCTATGAAATTTTCGTGAAGGGTGCTTGTAGACATGTTCTTCGTTGAAAATTTATATTTTATATGCTCCATACCAAATAAATTCCTAATCATAATAGAGGCTAGACTGGGGATTTAAAAAAAAAAAAAAAAAAAAAAAAAAAAAAAAAAAAAAAAACAGCTGGAGCTACTCTAAGCGATGTGTCTATGTAGGGATCACAAAGAACCTTTTCGGAAGTTTACTTTGCTATTGCATTTTATCACAAAAACCGCACTTGAAATGAAAGCTCGAAAAACTATCATTAGTCAAATGAAAATGAAATAGAATTTAATATTCTATCAAAATATATATTCGAGTGTGAGTGTCTGGGCTAATACCCAGAGATTCACCTAGAAATTGAAACTCACACAAGTATCATAGATCAAAGATCTCGGGGGAACATTCTTATATCCAAACTTATTTTTGGTAAAGATTTTTATCATTTCACAGTTTAAATTTGGGCTCAGCAATTTTATTGACAGATTTATTCCATACGAATTAAGCACTTTTTAGAGAATTATTTTAGATCAAGTAGGTATTATGGATCGAAGGATCAGAGAGAAACAGTTCACTAAGGAAGTTGCTTTCTAGACTTTATTTTCACATTCTAATCAATATTCTAAGTAAAACACAACTTTGAATTTTTCACTGAGAGAAAAGGGGCTAAGGGTTTAGGAGATCATAGATCTTCTAGACTTTCTTTAACTAGAATATTTTCACTGGACAAAAGGTACATATATCACACAGATCTTGCTTGAAGTTGACATCATAGAAAAAATTGTATACCAATTGTATTCTCTTTTAAGAACTCAAAACCCCCAGGAGGAAGCCGAAGAACCATCAAAGATCTCTTGATATATATTTATAGTAAGCACTTTTCAATTTCATTAACTAGGATAGTTCACTCCAAAGATCTATATATGTAGATGTGTGTGTGTATCACATAGAGCTGTTGCTCAAAGATTCAGATCAAAAGATCTTATTCAAGTTGTGGAACTTTCATATGCACTTAAGGACTTTCACTTTCAAGATCTCAAGAGTCAATAGGATTTACCAATCGATCGATGGATCACTAAGAACTCTCAATCAGAAACACCTTATGGGTTCCTGGGAGACCCCACTCAACAAATTATTGCAGGGATACCCTGCTCTATGTCCCTAATGTTCGATCTGGATTTGGATCTGGTTTTGGATCGATGTTAGCATTGACACTCTGCTTACCTGCCGCTCTTGGTGATGACCATTTCGGTGCCGAGCTTGTGGAACTTCTCCCATAGATCCTTGCCCTCGAGCGTGACCTTGGGATCGTCGACGACGCCATCGTCCTCGGGCTGCAGGGCGCGCAGCGGTCGCATCGCCGGATGCAGCTGATGGGCGACGGCCGAGGCGAGCACCACGTCCTCGGCGGTGGTGTAGGCGGTGCCCAGCGGATGGTGGGCGTGCGGATGCGCTGGATGCGGTGGGAAGCGCAAACCGCCGGCGGCGCTATACAGCCCCGGATGATGCGGCCCCGCCGGACTGCCGGCCAGTGCGGCAAGCGCTGCAGCCGGAAAATATGGCGGCGGCGGCGGCTGCTGTTGCTGCGTTCCCAAATGCTGCTGCTGCTGCTGCTGTTGTTGTTGTTGTTGCTGTTGCTGTTGGGGCAGCGGCGGCGGATGCGTTGGATGCACTGGATGCTGTGGCAGTCCAGCTGCAGGTGGTTGCTGCTGTGGCGGTGGCGGCGGCGGCGGTGCAACGCTGGGTGAGTGGTGCGCGGGTAGAGATGGCAGCGGCCCAGCGGCAGCAACTCCAACGGGCGGCAGCGGCGGCGGCGGCGTCGCCGTTGGCGTATTGGCCTGGCTGCCGCTCAATGCTGATTCGCTGCTGTTCAAGTGATTGTTGTTCTTATTGTTGCTGTTGTTGTTGTTGTTGTTGTTATTGTTGTTGCTGTGATTACTGAGCGGGGAGAGCTGCGAGGGCGAGCCGCGAAAATTTGCAGCACCGCCCGAGCCTGGCGAACTGAGAGCTTGAGCTGCGTTGTTGTTGCTGCTGTTGTTGTTGCTGTTGTTGTTGTTGTTGCTGTTGTTGTTGTTGTTGCTGTTGTTGGTGTTGTTGTTGCTGTTGCTGTTGCTACCCGCCGTCAACAGCGACGAGACGCTGAAGTCAGTGGGTCTTTGCGAGAGCTGCAGAAATGGATGATATGCCATCCCATTTGCGAACCTGGCGAATGGATCCTCAGCAGACTGATGAAGTAGCAGCTCCTGGACGTCGTATCTCATTACATTACAATTTACAACAACATGTGCGTCACGCAATAAATTGTACAAACTACGTTTCGAGTTTGAATTCGAGTTCGAGTTCGCCAGTTGAACAGGTACTTTGATATATGTATCTCTCTCTCTCTATCTCTCTCTCTATCTCTATCTCTTTCTAGATATATATTTATATATTCAATATAAATTTTAATTTATTTATTTATATACTTTTTGTTTGCACACACACACACACACACACACACGCACATATTTGTGTAGTATATTTTTCTATTTTCTTTTGTTGCTGTTGTTTTGTTGTTGTTATTTTTGCTGTGCTTCATATGTTTAAAAAAAAATTATAAATATTTTTTTTCTTTATAAATTTTGCTTCTCTTTTTGGTTTCAATCAAATTTCAAAAAAATTATTTGTTTTGGCGGCGGCAAAACGTCAACGCGACGACGGCAACGGCGACGGCGACGCAGGCTTATTGAAAGCTGCTGCTGCTGCTACTGCTGCTGCAGTCACTTTTACTTGAGCTGCTGCTGCTGGCACAGCTGGGCTTTTATTGTTATTAACAAATTGTGCAGCTTCCAACCAGAAAAAAAAAGAGTAATGGGAATTATTTGTTTGCTAGAGAACGTTCACGACAAAATAACTGACAGAGACGGGCCAACGACGACGACGCCGATACGAACTACACGCCGGTCGCTTCCAAACTGGAAAATACACAGACGTACGCAGGCAGCGCAACCCCCGAAGACAACAAACAATACACGAGCAACGACGACGACGACAATGCTGCCTCAGTCGCTGCCCGGGTGGGCAGCGCTTTTTGGCGAGTAGCAGACGAGTGTTGAGTGAGCGAGAGTGAGTGAGAGAGTGTACCGTGTGTGTGTGTGTGTGTATGGTGTGGTGTGTTGAGTTTTTGTTGCTGGGCGTGCGAGTGAGTCGGATTGGGTATGTTGCGCACTACGGCTGCTAGAGTGTGGGAGCAGGGCAGACTGAGAGACATACGCTGAGAGTGCGACTCCAATAAGAAAACCTAAAACCAAAGTGTTGAGTTGACGCTTTACTGTATATGTGTGTGTGTGTGTGTATTGGCTTGTGTGAGAGCGTGTATATGTGTGCGTGCAGACAAACAACAAGACGACTGTGACAAACCAACCAGCGGCAGCGGCGCCGACGTCGGCAGCGTCAGGCCGTCGCAAGGCGTGTGACAAGCAGCATGAAGCGTGTTAGAAGTAACAAGGCAGCTGACACCAAAAGTGCAGCGCGCCAGAAAAATGCCTCAAAATGAGAGCAGCACATAAAAGCACACACAAACAAATATACATATATATATGTATGTATAAAAAAAAAAAACTAAAATAAAAATAATCTGCTAGAGTGTAGTAAATCATAGCCAAAAAAAAAAAAAAAAAAAACGTCCGAGTACAAAAGAAAGCAAAAAAAAGCTGTTAGCTCCAGGGGAGACGGGGACGGGAGATGTGTTGGGTTTTGGGGTAACGGCCAAGTTGACAAATGACGCGCAAGCGAAAAATGCGCTTCAATGGTCAAATGTTTTGATGGACCGACGAAGGGGGAGGTGAGTGGGTGAGAGAGGGAGAGGGGGCGCTGAGCTAAAGTGAGAGGGAGGCTTGATGAATGTGCTGCGCAAGGAGCATAGCGTATGTGATGTGCTATGGGGTGGGGTGGGTTCTTGTGGGCTGTGGGGTGTTCGCTTGGCGGGCAGAGGTGAGTAAAGCACAGTAAATGCGATAAAAGGCAACACAGATAAGGCAAACAACAGTAAAGCGAGGAGTGACAGGGGAAGGGGGGAGACAGTCGAGTTGGAACACAACGCGTGCTGATTTGACCTAGACTGACCTTTTTCTGATCAGAATATATGTAGAAAGCGCCTGTGAGAGAGCGAGAGAGCAACAGCAAAAGTGATCGCAGGCAAAGCTCTTACAAAATTAAACTAAACTTTTAATATTTTTAATAATTCTGAAAATGTACTATTGCGCTTCAAATTATTACGAAATACTGTTAAGAAATGCCCAATTATATGGTAATAAAATGTATGATGACTAATTCTACTTTTCAGTTCTTAAAAAAATATGATTGAATTGATTTTTTCCAATTAAAATGTTTAATTGAAGCTACCGGTGCCGATTCCCCAATCAGAACTTGTGACACAATTTATTGAACCCCTTGGCAATTGGAATTAAAGCTTTTTCCTTATTGGAATTATTTCTGCCGATTTTCCAATTGAATTGCGAGCGCTACACGAAAACTACATATGTACATGTACATGTCCAATTAGAATATCACTTCCAACTAACGGCCACACCTACGGCATTGTGGGGTAGGGGGCGGGCGATAAGTGCGGATTAGGCGCCGCATTTCAAAGTTAAACGCGCTTTTGCCGCTTTGGCAGCTTTTGTGCGTCCGTAAATGTAAATACAGGAGATTTATGTCGCGACAGGAGCAGCAGCAGCAGCAGCAGCGGAAGAGGCAGCAACTTCGGCGCTGACGACGCTGACGCCGATGCCGATGCCGTTGCCGACGCCTAAGCAACGTACAAATTCGCAAGTGCGAAAAAGCCGAGCAAAAAGAGGAGCAGCAAAAACAAAACCAACTACAGCAGCAGCAGCAAGAAGAAGAAGAGCTGGACAGGCGCGCGTGTGACAAACTTGACGCTAAGTTTGCGCAAACACGGCCAGTGGCGGTGGGCGTGGGTGTGAGCGAGACGGCACGAGACGAGGCGTGCAAATGAAAGGCAAAGCTCAAGCAGAAGACATACACACGCACACAAGCATAGACACACACACACACACACACACACACACACACACACACGTACACTGACAACAGCAGCAGCAGACAAAGAAGCTTTGGCAGCGACGACGGCGACGGCGCCAAAAAGCAAAAACGGCAACGCAAATGTATTTTGTCACACGTTTTCATACATATACTCACACACACACATACAGTATAATAACACACACAAGCCGTGTATGTGTGTGTGTGAGTGAGCTGGCTGGCACTATTTGCGTCGCCTGTGCGCAAGAAAAAGACGACAAGCGCAACGACAGCGACAACGACGACGACGACGACGTTGAACTTGCTACCCGACAGGCTGTTCCCATTGTTGTTGTTGTTGCTGTTGCTGCTGCTACTGAGCAGTGCTCAGCTTGTGTGACAAGTTTAACCACAAATACATACGCACAGAGAGCATGCACACACACACATGCACACACACACGTACGTAGCGACGCGCCAGCTAGTTAACACCACACCTCACAATGGCGGCGGCAATGTTAACTCCTCTGCGCCGTGCCTTAGCCGTGCCGTGTGTGTGAGTGAAATGGCGCGACGTCGTGGTGGCTGCTGCTGCTCTTGCTGTTGTTGCTGTTGTTGTTGTAACTGTGTAAGAGGTGACAACATTTCTTTGCATGGATGTGTGCGAGAGTGTACGTATGTATATATGTGTGCGTGTGTGTCGGTGTCTGTGGTGTGAAAAATTACAGCAGCAGCGACGCCAACGTCGTCGTCGTAGCTGTTGCTGTGGTGAAGAAAAGACAATGAGGATGCTACACGTCAGCCAAACCTGTGGCGAGTCTTGTTGTTGTTGTTGCTGTTGCAGTTGTTGTTGTTGTTGGAGTGAAAGGCGATTAGTTGGCTTAGAAGCCCAAACGGGTGTACATAGTCAAAATGTATATTTTGGGCCCAGACATAAACAATGGGCTAAGTAAACGCAAAGCCTTCTTACATTAATTGCAGTTCAATTGGCCGCACTCGACGCTAATGCTAAGGCTATGAAGGCGCTGCTGCTGCTGCGGCGCTGTAACTTAAAGAGCAAATGAATATTAACAGCAACAACAACAGCAACAAAAGCAGCAACAACAACAACAGCAAATGCTCGAAGTATGCTCAGAAGGTGTTAAAAAACAACCAACCAAAATGCCGACTAACGCCTGGCCAAAATCGGCTGCCGCTGCTGCTGCTGCTGCTGCTGTTCACTCTCTGCCGCTTGTTTGTGTATTGATTTAGCTCAGTGTTTGTGTGTGTGTGTGTGAGTGTGCAGCAGCTGCTGCTGCCGCCGTGGTGTGTTGAATAAGACTTACACCACAGCATCTGCAGCTGGCGCGAGAGCGAGCGAGCTTAGCCGTAAGTGCGCTCTCGTTTACTACTACTCTCCACTCTCGCGCTCTCGCTTCCACTCGCACCCTGTCGTTCGTTTGCTCTCTCGCTCGCACTCGTTTTGGCTATTTGGCCATACAAGCGTCGCATAGTAAATTTCGTCTGATTTTTTGTTGGCGCTTTGTAGCTAATTAAAAGTTTATATGTGCACACACACACACACACACATACACGTGGACGCACACACACATACAGAGAGACAGGGCAGCTGCTAGCTGCCTCATAATTATCTGAAAAACTTTATTTGACGGCGTTTATTTGACTGGCTGCCTTCCCCAATGGGATCAACAGAGAGGGGGAGTGAGAGAGGGGAGGGGGTGGAAGATGAGAGGTCTCTCTATCGCGCTCGCTCACACGCCTGTGTGTGGGCATGTTTATTTGCTTAACATGGTTTAGTTGCGCCTGTATTTGTGTATGCATGTGTGTGTGTGTGTGTGTGTGTGTGTGTGAAAATTTACAAGCGGCGCGCGTTAAATTATCCAAATATGTTGGGGGCAAAAGGTGACGACGAATGGGTTAACACTTTGACTAGCGCGTGTCTGTGTGTGTGTGTGTGCGAGCGTGTGTGTGTGTGCGTGTTTGTGTGTGTAAATAATAAACAACATTATGCTGGCCATTAGCCAGCTTCAAGCGTTTAGATTTAGCTCTATTGCTCTTACTCTCACTCTCTCTCTCTCTCTCTCTCTCTCTTTCTCTCTCACTGAGAAAAATGTCGCATGCCGAGCTTGTCTTTGCCCAGGCCACGCCCACTGCCTCTGTCTGCCTGTGCAATGGCAATCAATAAAATTAGCATAAACTTGAATTTCACGCTGCCAAAAACAATGAAAGCTTGTTACACATACACACACACATACACCCACACGCACATGGCTTGGCTTTAACAAACACAAATACAAAGCCAAAGAATCGCGCCATAATAAATGTCTAGCCTTATGTAAACGCAGACAGAGTAGCTCTAGCTGTACGTGTGTGTGTGTGTGTG